AATAAATACTTTCAAATATTTTTTTACATTTATATTTCCTTTAGGATTTAAGAAAATAAAAATTGGTACTAAATAAATCCTCTTAAAAACATTTTTTTTTGTTTTTAAAAAATTATTTTTTAAATATTTATTATATATCTAATGAGATATTTAAGACATGACAAATTTTTAAAATAAAAATTATTATCTAATAATATTTTAATATTATCTATTCTTTAGAATTTTAGATAAGGGAAATTGGTATACTTTTTAAAATTATAAAAGGGAAACTTCAATTAAATACTCTTTACTTTTTTTTTTTACCTTTTAATAATTGTCACAAAATTAAATTTCTTCAAAATTCTTTTTTTATCTTAGTATATATATATTTTTAATCATGAAATATTTTAATATATGCCTAAAGTAAAATTACTATCAAATAATTATTTTTTGCAAATATATTTTACAAATGTTTTTTTTTTACAATTATCTTTTCTATATTCTTTGAGAAGGAAAATCAGTGTTAAATATTGTAGAATTTTTTTAGTATAGGATTTGTTAAAAACGATAATTACTAACTTTTTATTTCTTTTTTATTTATTTATGTCTTGTAACACATATCACAATCTAAAATATGTACTTGCTACGTGTCGCGATCGTATTAATCAATAACTTTGAATAACCAAATTTTATATAATAATATTATCTAAACTCGTTAACTAAAATATTATAAAACATTAATATACTATATTGGTAAGATTAATTTAATTTTAAGAACCAAGCTTTATATAATAAAAAGTAAAATTTCTAAAAAATACTTTTAAATAATTTTAAAGTGATTTTTTACTAATAATAAATTTTAAATTTACTTTTTTTTTAATTTCGATTTTATTATCTTTTTATATATATACATATATTATATATTTAATAATTATATATTTAAACACATGTCACAAAATTAAAAGAATAATTACTGTCAAATAATCTCTTACACTTATCTTTGTTAAGGGTTTTTAAAATTGTAAATTACTATTATATAATAGTTATAATTAATTTTTAAATAAAAAATGTTTTTGTTATTATCTTAGTATATATATTTTTAATTATGAGATAGATTCACACATGTCACAATTTTAAACACATAATCAGGAACTTTGAAGAACCAAACTTTATATAATAAGATATTATATATATAATATTATAAAATATGATTGTAAAAGATTATTTGATAATATTTTTTATTTTAATAAAGTGACATGTGTTAAAATATATAATGACTAAATATATATATATATATATATATATATATATATATATATATATATAATAAGATAATAAAAGCGAATTTTGAAAATTAAATTTAAAATTTATTTATTAGTAAAAAGTAACTTAAAATTATTTAACAGTATTTTTTTATCAAAAGTCCTAAACAAAAACAAAATTTGACAACTATTAGTACTTTATAATTCGTTTTCGCTTTATATATTTTTTAAAAACTACTACTTTATTTTGTAATTCTATTTGTGTAGGAATTAAAATATGGAATTTAGGATTTAAAAATAGGAAAATTACTTGGAAACAACTATTTACAATTATCTTTTATTTATGATTTTTATAAAGGAAAAAACACTATCAAATATTTTTTATTTATTAATTTTATATGTCTAATAAGATATTTTGACACATGTCACAATCTCACAATTTTTATTGCCACATGTCGCGATCATGTTAATTAGTAACTTTGAAGAACCAAACTTTATATAATTACATGTTTGTAAGAAATCAACATATAATTTGATAAATATTATAAATATACATACCCATTTAAGAAATAATAAAAATAATTTTATATGACTTAGATAAAATAAAAAAATAATTATACTTCAGTTTAAATTTGAAAAATATATATAACTCAAATATTCACAACATGAGTGACTCGACTAATCCAACTTATACCTAAAATCAAAGATCTATTACAATAAGAACATATATTTTATAATAATACACTATGTATTCTATACATATAAGTTACAATATGACCCAAACATATTAATAAGTAAAAATAAATATTAATCAATTTTTACAGTTTGGAAAAATCGGAATAATAAAATGTACAAAAATAAAACATGAAATATTCTGCGATTCGCGGAGATAGAAGGTATTTTATGGGCTGAAGCCCAAATACAAGATACAGTGATGAGGGATTCTTATACTTTTTCTACAGATCAAATTTCTCATTGCAACCATTGGTGCTATATTGATGAAGCAAGGAAGGAACATGATCTTACAGGCCAAAGTTGGTTTTATAGGAGAGAAGGAAAAACTGATACCATGATGGGTGCCATGAATATCCGTAGGAGTCTATCACCCTTACATGCAGAATGTGAAGCGTTGATCTGGGCGATGAAATGCATGAAGTCCCTCAAGATTTCAGAAGTAGTTTTTGCAACAGACTATTCTCAACTGGTAAAAATGGTGTTACACCTATAGAATGGCCGGCGTTCACTACACATATGGGGGAATTTCTACGCTGTAAGGAATTTTTTCATGCTTTCACCATTCAACATATTTTTAAGGGCAAAAAACATAATGGCTGATAAACTGGCACGTGGTGCTTGGAATATGCCTTCTGCTATGGTATATGTTGATTCAGTCCTTTCGAGGTGACTCTCGGGTCAGGATGTAGTTTAGTGTCTCTTTGCCTAATTGCTTAGAAAAAAAAAATTGTTACAGTTTAGTTATATTGTTAAAAAATATTTTAGTGCTAATGTTTCAGTATTAAAAACGAAAACTAAAAATAGTTTTTTTACAATAATCATATTTTGATGATCAAATTCTTACAAAATCCTTTCAAATAGAATAAAAATATATACTTTATATGAGGTAGATAGATTATATTTTATCATTATTAAAAAAATTCTGAATATGTAGTTTGCTTTTTAATTTAATGTTTTCGTTATGTTTGCAGAATTTAATATACCCATAACCAGAATACTCAAGTAAATCTGAATTCCTATTTTTAATATTATTTAAAATAATTTTCAGATTACCTTTCACTAAATCTAAAACATAAAACTATTTAGAATTTATAAAATACTTTAATTATTATAAATTTTGATATGTGTTCGTCATATTCCAAAACATTATCAGTTACAGTTACTTATGTAACTTCCAATTAAGCATCAATTTATTTTTAATATTTTTTTTAAAAAAAAATCAAATTATAATTTGATAAATATTATGAAAATACATGCACATTTAAACAGTAAATAAAACTAGTGTGATTTGATTTAATTAGAATAAAAATAATTATATTTCAATTTAAATTTGAAAGAATATATATAACTCAACATACTCACACCATGGGTAACTCGACTAAACCAACTTATTAGTCCAGATTTTTAGCGTTATTAATATTCTATTATTAAAATCGATTAAATAGATGTTAAGAAATATTTTGATTTTTACCTACTTAGTCATTAATCGATACAGTTTGTTTCTAAAAAAGATTTGCCAAAAGATTATACAAGTTACCTAATATCACGGTGGAAGAGATTCAACTAATCTTATATAATAAAACAGAGATTTCTCCCTTCTCCATCGTCCACGTCAGCCATCACCTAAGGGCATTTTTTGCCACCTGTCCACTTTCTTTACGTGAAAACTCTCAACTCAGCTTATTCTTTTTAGGCTACTAATGATTTTCTTTGTGGGCCTTTCTTCCCATCTCGCTCATCTTCTTTTTAGGTTTCTACTCCTCNTAATCTTATATAATAAAACAGAGATTTCTCCCTTCTCCATCGTCCACGTCAGCCATCACCTAAGGGCATTTTTTGCCACCTGTCCACTTTCTTTACGTGAAAACTCTCAACTCAGCTTATTCTTTTTAGGCTACTAATGATTTTCTTTGTGGGCCTTTCTTCCCATCTCGCTCATCTTCTTTTTAGGTTTCTACTCCTCCTCCCTCGCTCTTCGTCTCCTAACAACTCAGAAAATCACCTCTGTAACGTCATCCGTTTATGCTTACCCCTACTCATCCCATTTTCTGTGAATTAAACATCTGTCATTACTATCAAAGGTAGCCCGCTTGAGATTTTTCACTATAAAACAGTTCCTTCTCTGCCATTACGAGATTACGAGATCCCTAAATAAAAACTTCATCACGCTTCGATTCCAGCTATGGCTACTTCATAAATTGTGTCTACTACAGCTGTAGTTTCTTCAATGGAAACAACGATAGCTCCTCAAATTAGATATGTTTGGTGGTTCCTCTTAAATATGATTTTGTTACATTGGTACTCCCTATGACGCCTTCGATCATCTCAAGGTGTACACTTTTTACTCTAGCCTCTTTCTCTATCTCTTGAGTAGTATTATTAATCAAATTGTAATCCCTATCTTATCAGAGTTTGATGCCTTTCTCGTGAGCATCACCGAGAGGAACGTCTTATCCGATGCGTCAGAGATAATGGATAAGAACGAAAAGAGGATATGAGGAATATTGTTGAAGAATGACTCTTATCTCTAAACTATGATTCTTATGTCTGCAAATCGAAATGGGAAAAGTGCCCCTCTTTCCAAGCTGGTAACATCTCTCTTCACCAAATCTATGTGACTGATGAACTAAGACTTGCCACTTTTCAGGTGAATGAGTACAGTTTGTCTTCCTCTTGAAATATTATCATAGAGTAGCTTTTTGATTGCAAAAACGCATTTCTGGTATAGAATTTAATTGAACATGTATATTGGATTTTAGTAAGTTACAAGTTTTTATATGGGTATATCACTCTGTTTGTATTTCAGGTTTGAGATAAAAGTTGTCTGCTCCATAAGTTATTTTTTAATAGGCTTGGAGCTTAAATAATTTGTAGTGTGTCCAAAAGCCTCCAGAACATACTTGAGTTGTCATTTCCCTCACTTGAAGGGATCAATTCTTTCTATCATGTTTTAGAACATTACTGTGGACATTAGTTTTAATTTGCTCGAAGTTTGTTTGGCCCACTTCCATTAACTTAGCAATAATGAATATGTCAGTATCCCATGTTGAAGTCGGTGAGATCTTGCTTGGAGAGAGCAGTGACCTGTCAATGGCGGAACTCAGACCTTCACGCATCATTGAACTCGCTGACTCAGATCAAAGCTCTTCATCTTCAGCTATCTTGACCGTACAGTTGTTTCCAGCGAGCAAAGCATGAAAGAGTACGCAATCTTGAAACTCTCTCCGCCATTGCTTTCTTCTTTGGTGGAACAGTTGGATTTCTCTACTTGCTGCTTCTACAGAGATCAGTAGATGAACTGCAAGCACCAGGATCGTCTTCCTCATCCAAAAACTCCAATCAAGTCCTCAGCGGAAGACTCAAGATTCCTGTTTTAAGCCTCACATTGGTCGTAGGATTGTCGCTTTTAGCAGTCAGAGGTTACTCTGGAGAAGGTTCCTCTGCATTTGCAGTCACTCCTAGAGAGATTCCGGTGGGGACTTTGGGGTTTCTTGCGTGTAAAGTAGCCGTTGTTTTGGCTGCGTTTAAGCCTTTGAAGGATGTGTCTTAACACTATCAAGTGAGACAATGGTTTGTCTTCTCTTCTCTTCGTTGTAAGCTCTCACTTCAGTGTTTAACCTGGAAATAAATGTACATAACTTTGTATACAAAATATATATATGTAAATAAGAATAGATCCTTGTGTATCTTACATACATCATATGAAAATGATATACCGTATGCATATGTATGTGTACTTTGATTATTTGAGGCCCATTTCATTCTATGATTTTTTTTTTCCGCTTAGGTTTACCCTTTTCCTTCTTCGGCTGGGAAATCACAGACTAAAAGAAACCATGGGAGAGGTTTCGACAAACGTTACGACGTTTTGTTTTCTGCGATGAACGTCATCACTTCTTCGACATCGTCTCACTGAACCTTACCTCAAATGCTTCGTCCATGTTTTAGAGAGCGTTCTGACAACCACTCAAAAGATCGACCAGAGGCGAGGAGCTAGGTCCTCTCGCCGGAGTACTGATCGGCGTCAAGGATAATATATGCACTGAAGGTAAGCCTTCCACCGCTGATTCTCGCAACTAGAGTTTTCACTTTAGCGTGTACCTTTCTATACGAAGAGTAAGCATACATGTTGTGAGCTGTGTGTCCCATCGCTGATTGTTGATTGTGCTCCTGATACCTACCAGTAAGCTCACCAAGTATATCTTGCAATTTTAAAAGTCCAATTATGGAAACGTGTCCAAGTGTTAGATATAGAAGATAAAAGCATACATTGTAGTTGTCTGTTGGTATTTGCTAATGCCAATATCTGGTCATAGTTGCGGAACCGAAACAGCTCGGTTGGTATCGGCTTATCAGAATCCATCAGTTCTTCGAACAGAGATAGGGGCATAAGAGAGTCGGAAATTATTGTTGTAATATATATATATATATATATGAGTTTTCACCGGCTAATTGGATACATTTTCAATTGATTTATCTTGGAGGTGGAATAATTTATTATCGTGAGAAACTTACTCATTGTAATAGTATTAAAATTATACTCTTATAAATTTAAGAAAAAAAATATTAGTTATTCTTACTTTAGATTTTTTTAAATTATATCAAAGTGAAACAGAAATTAAAAAATAATAAATATAAATCATTATATTTTCTTAAATTTTTAATTTCATATTAGTGTCCTCTAACAAAAAAATGTAATACTCTTATAAATTTTCTTAAAATTATACTCTTATAAAATTTTTAACTATAAAAGTATTTTCAAATAGTATGAGGAAAACTTCCAACAAATAATTTTTTGTTATTAAATAAAGTTCAACAATTGCTGAAATAATTTAGAAAACATAATTAGTAAAAACAATTAAAGAAAAGCCATTATAACATAAAAATCTAAACTAAACTGAAACAAACATGTATTTTATCATGTGTTGTTAAATAGTATATATTAATTATTATTTTTTAAATTATTTATATATTATTTGAAATATAAGTTTTAATTTTTTCATATTACATTACATTTTCAATTGATTTATCTTGGAGGTGGAATAATTTTTTCACATTAAATTACATTTTAAATTGATTTATATGTGAGAAACTTACTTATTATAATAGTATTAAAATTATACTCTTATAAATTTCAGAAAAAAATATTAGTTATTCATACTTTAGATTTTTTTAAAAAAATTATATCAAAGTGGAACAGAAATTAAAAATAATAAATATAAATCATTATATTTACTTAATTTTTAATCATTTCATATTCGTGTCCTCTAACAAAAAAGTATTAGTGGTCCTTTCAGCTTAACTAAGAAAACTTAATGAAATTTATAATTTTATTTTAAAATAAAATATTATATTTATTATCCAATTAAAGTAAAATTTTAACTATTTTATAAAATTAAATATATTTTAATATTAAATAATTTTTTTATACACTCACCCGCCCGTAGGGCGGGCCAACCACTAGTANCTAACAAAAAAGTATTAGTGGTCCTTTCAGCTTAACTAAGAAAACTTAATGAAATTTATAATTTTATTTTAAAATAAAATATTATATTTATTATCCAATTAAAGTAAAATTTTAACTATTTTATAAAATTAAATATATTTTAATATTAAATAATTTTTTTATACACTCACCCGCCCGTAGGGCGGGCCAACCACTAGTAAACTAATAATATTATCGTGAGCAACACCCACTGAATATATTGAAGCTTTCAAAATGGAAACAATTTTAACAATATACTAGATCATAACCCGCCCGACTGGGCGGATCTTTGTTTTTATGGTATATATAAACATTTCAAAAATTACAATATAATAGTTCCATTTTTACTAAGTAATAGTATATTGTTTAAACATTGTATTTCATCACTGTATTGTGTAAGGGGCATCGGTAAAATGTTGTGACCCGTAAACATTTTAATAATAGTTTATAAAGTTTTTTTGGCTAATTTTGGTGCAAAGTTATATACACTAAACATTTTAGTCAAAATTTTAAATTATTTTTTTAATGAAGAATTGGAAGGCTAGTATATCACTGTTAAAAACTTATAACAATAGTCAATATAAATTATATAAATATAATATATATTATTCTTGATTTATTCCAAAGTACCATTATTATTGTTTTTGAGTTTTCTATCATTACTATTATTTTATTTCTGAAAACAATTTTAACAATATACTAGATCATAACCCGCCCGACTGGGCGGATCTTTGTTTTTATGGTATATATAAACATTTCAAAAATTACAATATAATAGTTCCATTTTTACTAAGTAATAGTATATTGTTTAAACATTGTATTTCATCACTGTATTGTGTAAGGGGCATCGGTAAAATGTTGTGACCCGTAAACATTTTAATAATAGTTTATAAAGTTTTTTTGGCTAATTTTGGTGCAAAGTTATATACACTAAACATTTTAGTCAAAATTTTAAGTTATTTTTTTAATGAAGAATTGGAAGGCTAGTATATCACTGTTAAAAACTTATAACAATAGTCAATATAAATTATATAAATATAATATATATTATTCTTGATTTATTCTAAATACATTTAAAACACGAGTACATATATGTATAAATAATTTTCAGAAATAAAATAATAGTAATGATAGAAAACTCAAAAACAATAATAATGGTACTTTGGGTCACAGTAATCTTTATTTTAATAAATAAGCCTATTAGGTTTGTATGCTATCTATGTTTCCAGTCAAACTTTTAAAATTTTCTTATTCATGTTTCCAAACACTTTATTTTTGTACTTCAACTTTAATAGTATAGATATCGCCATACAGATTAATGAAAAAAAATATTAAGTATTTAAAAAAAATCAAAATAACTAAAAAATAATAATAATAACGCCAATTTTAACAACGTTAACGCACCAACTAAATGTTAAATCATAACCGTAACCCTAGCCTTATGTCCTAAATCAAAATTCTATACCCTAAAACCCAAACCTAGGCCCGAAACCCAAATCATATACCCCAAATCTAAACCCTATATCCTAAAATCTAAACCCTAGACCCTAAACCCAATGCTATACCCTAAACCAAAACTTTATAGCCTAAAATTTAAACTCTAAACCGTAAATCATAAATCCAAACTTTAGACTTTGAATTCAAACCCTTGAATTCAAACCCTAGAACCTAAACCCATAATCTAGACCCTAAATCATGAATCCAAACCATAAATTCTAAATTCAAACTTTAAATCCTAATCTTAAACTCTAAAATAATAATATCAGCATTCATCCAAACATTGAAGATATAAGATTTGGGTTTAGGACATATATGTATAAATAATTTTCAGAAATAAAATAATAGTAATGATAGAAAACCCAAAAACAATAATAATGGTACTTTGGGTCACAGTAATCTTTATTTTAATAAATAAGCCTATTAGGTTTGTATGCTATCTATGTTTCCAGTCAAACTTTTAAAATTTTCTTATTCATGTTTCCAAACACTTTATTTTTGTACTTCAACTTTAATAGTATAGATGATATCGATTTTATAGTTTAGAAAATCTGTTGGGATACAATTTGGAGTATGCCCAAGGTTTCCCAATAACCTAAGCACCTCTCCCTTTAACCTCTTCGTATTATAAATATCCAAGACCCTCTTCCTATTCGTAATAATGTTTGTGAAGTGTTTTTTATGTTTGGTTACTGAATCTCTTTTATGTTTTTCAAGTTACTGTTTTTGGTCATCCAAGATTGTTTCTGATACAAACACTCATGTATCTACACGTGATGGGAACCTTTGGTTAAAAGATAATCTTGAAGCTAAGTATGTAACAGTTTATCCAGTTTTTGTGAGTGCTTGTCATTTAGGTTCTATTTTTGTATGTATGTGGTTCTTGAATTCCCTGCAAGGGGAAAATTCATTGAGAAGTCTGACGTTATCTCATCTGGTGTCGTACTTTTGCAGCTCATAACGGGGCATCAACATGTTGATGCAAACAATCTCCGATCACAACTTAGTTGACTGGTACTTACTACTATGACTTGCAAAATAATAATCTAGACTTATTTCAAATTTGACTATTGTATGTAGTGAATGTTATGTGTAAATAATGGAAACAATGCACGACCATTGCTTAATAGAGCATCTAAGCAAGAAGACTTGAGTCTGGGAGTTTGACCAATACAATACAAATATGAATAAGAGTATGACAGAGAGGAGATGGCTCTAAGTCATGTTCGACGCCATTCCCCTACACGCAGACCTCACATGAGCCAAGTAGCTTATTATATCCTTTCTCTTAGGAGTCAGCCATTTAATATTTTTTTTCACGTTGAAAAATATAGTTATTAATTTATATGTTAGTTTTGGTGTGAAAACAAGAAGATTGTGTATCCTTTAGAAGGAAACGTATCACTATCAGATCTTACATAATGGATGAGACCGGGTCGAAACAATGTATACATACAGCTGGCACTTGGAACTCAAGTGTACAACACGACATGGGAGTAACTGAGTAAGTAATCCAACCAGTATGGACTAGCAACGAGGTCCAAACCTTACTCAAATGGAGATGGAGA